AAGTATCAGCAGCATGTGATTGTGGGACCTTTGATCAATATGTATATAAATAGACATATTTTTGTTTTAATTGTTGCATTAATTTTAATGAAAAATAAAAATTACTCACAAAGTTGGTCAAGTGAATGTACAAAGTATTTATTTCTTTATTTAGTACAGCACATGTTACAATTATGTACTTGTTTTAATTGCGTGAGTGTGCATGGCAGACTTTTTTATTTTAATTGTGCACACCCACTTATGAGTAAATTAACCTAGTTTTTGTTTATGAAAATCTAAAAAGTTACCTAATTGAAATAAGATCATTTCTATAACTTGGTAAACCTAGTCAGTTAAAATTATATCACAAACATCTGTCAACGTACACTCATGCTTTCCTTTACCACTTGAGTCTCCCACTCACCATGTCGCTTTATGAAATTTTTTTGATAAAATCCTATTTTAAAAAAGTCAACCCTATACTTGATATGCTGAACATAGACCTCTAAGACATCTCCTGTGGCAATTAGTCGGTGCAAATATTCGCATAGTTGAGAAGCAAGATAACCAATGTGTGTCCATCCAGTTCCATAGTCTACATCAATTGCAATTGCACTTGGGTCCATTGGATTCAATGGCTCTGGCCGTATTCTTACATTCACTGGTTTATCTTGTCCATGAAGAGCAAGGTATGCTGTTGATGTTGGTAATTTTTCTCATGAGCAGCACCGATGCACTTGAATGGTACAGCATGGGTGATTTCGTCCTCATCACTTTCATCCTCATCACTTAACTGGTCACCACTTTCTGCCCTATCACTTTCATTACCATGTCCATGCTGACCAGGTTCAAGACCAGACAACCACTCAAGTAGATCTCTTTCTACAAAATCATAACAAGAAAATTTTTATTTTATTATTTTGTACATAAGCTGTAATCTCTAAAATTAGAAATCTAATGCAAAAGTGTGTCACTATTTACAGTAATATTTATAGAACAACACACAAATATGGCAATATTTTACAGATGAAAATTGAAAAATATCACTATTGTATGCACATATATGTAAACATCTATCCACAACTAGATACAAACAGGCATCATACTTCAGCAAAAATTTATTAAACAATTTGTTTAACTCAAAGCATGTACATATGTATCACAGTGACACAGTACACACGCAATAGAGTCAAACTAGAGCCATTTATAAACACAAATATTACGCCATACAGTACAAGGTTAAAAACAACAAAGCGGATAATAATTTGACTAAATAACAAGGTAACTGTAATGCATTGTAGTATACCAACCTTAAATATTGCGCTTGTTTCACGTTGATGATACACGGAGATTTAACGTCATCCAAGTTTAATAGAAAGAAGAGCCTCGCTACTGGGAATATAAACACAATTCCTTCGCTCAGACGCATTTATCAAGCTAAAATGACAACATGTCCCATGCAAATATTTAAAAAAGGTAAACTTGGTATAGTAAAACACAAGTCATAATGATGATCGCAACAATACAGCAATAACATGCTGTTTCTTTTCACAAAGTATCGCAGCCTGACACTCTTGTCGTTCGAAAGCTTCCATATTGGTTTAGTCAGAGAGATGTTCACTCCTCGACAGTCAACAGTCAATGAAGTCACGCGCGGAATTAGGCGCTCAATACCCATGATTCTTTGCGGCCTGCTGTCCAACCTCCTCTGTACTCATGGGACAAAACTCAAAGAAATAAAAATTAGAAAATTTAAAAGGAATACAGTATTTCTTTTAAATTTTCTAATTTTTATTTCTTTGAGTTTTGTCCCGTGAGTACAAGACCTTGTGTTCTTACCCAACCATTAATTCAAAGCAATTAAAGCTGTCAAATTACTACAATACGTTATAGCTAATTTGAATTTGAAAGGGTTCAGATTTTTTTTATACACCCTGTATAGTCTGGTTAATGCAGGGCCGCGCCAAGTGATATCTGGTTGGGGGGGGGGGGATTAACTAAAAAATATGGGCCCCTTCCTCCGGGGGGTCGACGTCTTTTGCGAAAATAAAACGTCCCAAAAAATTTTCCAAAACATCTTGCGTGACACCCTCCCCCCAGTAGTTCCGGCCCTAGGTTAATGTAACCGGAATCTCGTTTTGAAGTAAAAATTTTAAGCATCGATCGCAAGGTCTTTATTTACCCATGGAGGGACAGGCGCCCTTGCACTGCGTTTAGTGATCACTGAGTATGATGTAGTACGTAGGATATTGCGTTTATTATTTGAATATCACAAGCTTTATATGTCATCCTTATTATTGCAGCACCATCCCTATGCCCGTCCTTTGAATGCCTAATTTGCAACGAAGATATACTCGACAATGGCAACAGGGTTGTTAACGTTAGGTGGAAGGTTGGTTGAATTTCAGTTCTTTGGTCATTTCAAGCCCATAAGTGATTTTAATTTTAAACAGAAGTTTAAAAGATATATCTTTTACTAGTCCGCGGCACTAGATTACCCGCCCCAAATATATTTTTCACTAGCCAGTCACTTGTCAAGTAAAGCGATTTTCATTGTCTGTCTGTCTTAATATGTTGTAATTTGATATTTTCGGAAATCGTTGCTACGCGGTCAGGTCGGATAGAGTATGTGATATTTCGGAACTGAGTCTAGTTCCTTCGCGTAGCTCAGTTGGCAGAGCATTGGGCTGGTATTCGAAAGGTCGTAGGTTCGATTCCCACCGTGGCCAAGCATGTTTTTCAAGCCTGCCTGGTGTGGATATACACTCAGAGTAACATCACAGGCACACTGTCGAAATGTTTGCAGTTTGGCAATAATATAATAATTACAATATAATCCCCCATTTCCTTTTTATTGTGATTTGCATGCATATCAGTAGTTTTTATACGCCCAATGTTCAACCTTCAAAATTTGACAAATGATTAAAGAACGATTAAAGAACGCAAAGGAAAGCTTGTGTCCCAACAGTCTATTTAATGGTTGAAAGTGCAAAAGTAATATACTTGAATAGAAGATCTATCAGTTTAGACATTTTTATACTTTGTTACAGCTACCACCTGAGAATACGCTCAATGGTATGGTGCGCCAGACTAGATTGAAATATAGGGGAAAAGGGGATAATATGACAATTGTCATAATTTATCGTAATATGACAACCGAGGGATCTATTGAGCTTAAAGTGAACATGGAATATTTTGTGCAAGTGGCAATTTGCACGCTGGAACATCTTTGCAGTGGCTACAGTAAACCAAAGTTGATATCAAAACATGCACCCGAGGAACATGTGACAACTTCAGGTAAAAACATATGTATATGCAACAACAAATCTGGAGGAATTCAAAGAACGGGATCGGGAAAAATTGAATTTTGTCGTCGGTATACAGTATACTGCAGACAGAAGAAATTTTAACGTTCATAAGATTTTTGACAGCAATAGAGTGAAGGACATCACAAGAAAACTATAATTTTAAAGCGGGAAATTTGAAATTTTAGCATACGACAGCCATGCATTAACATTCTCCGTCCTAACGAATTAAGGAATAAGGGTGAACAGGTCTCAATTTGAAAAAGTGAAACTGGATAGGGTATAATTGTTTTCTGATTCTCCGAGGTCATCACTTTAGGAATCTTTGCACATTAGACGTGGGAACTCCCTCCTCTCCGCAGGTAAAATTGAAAAAGACTCGCCAACAGTATCAACAGTATTCTACAGTATACATACAAATCAAACTTAATCCCATTTTGTATTTTTATTGCTTTTTAAACAGACGTTTCCAGTTTTCAGAAATTTATATACTGTATACTCAGTTCAAAGCGTACATGCAGCATATACATAGAATAAATTTTATTTCAAACTGGTTTGTTCTTTTCATGATTTAGGGAATTCAAAAATCCTGGTAATTGGCCTCACTGTTGGATGTCTGTGTTTATTTATTGTTCTCGTATTGTTTTGTGGAGTCTTAAGGTATATTAAAATTTATCTTTAATTCATAATAATATATTCAAACATTTTCAAAACAAATATTCGTCTCAGGCTCGGTGATTATCGGGGAATATTCGCCGAGACGAAGTCGAGGTGAATAATCACCGAGCCTGAGGCGAATAATTAGCCATTCCGAATTTGATGAGAGGACTGGGTACGAGTGTTAAAAAGTGCCCAAATTAAGAAATGAACCAAATCACTAAAAAGAACACCTCAAAATTAGTAAGTATACAAAGTTTGAAGACGTTTACATGAATACCCTTCGAATAATAAGCTTTCAAAAATTGTGAAATTACTGATTAAAAGATTGTTTTTGGGACGCGCAGAGGAGGTCGGACAAGCAATTAGCGAGTTGTCACGTGAGCTCTCGACCAATGAGATCGCTCTATTTTCCATCGTGTTTTCTGCAGAATTTGGGCAGAAAAATTTGTATTCGACGGAAAATAAATCGAGAAAAAACATTAATATTAAAATTTTCTTGCAAAATGTCAAGTGTAGTAGTACTACGGCTAAAGATCTGGTGATATCTGCAAAAATCTCTAAGGTAAACGTTATTTTCTATGTTATTTTGATGTTTGAAGTTAGACGACTCCCCGCGACGTGTTGACTCAAGTCTAAATATGTTTACAATGTTTAAAATGAAATATCTAGAATTCCCATGGTTCGATTTTCCTCATTTTTGGCAGTCGTCAAAAAAATATAAGCTTTAAATCTACTGGAATGATCCCGGTGATCCCCCGGCAGTTTTCGAGTTATTGGCCATTGAAGCGACTATTGTCAACTCGACGCTCGCTAAAATGGCGTCTAATACCTTGGAAAGAATTTGTGCCATCAAAGATTATATTTTCAATGAATTTTTGTTAAAGTGTTAAAATATTATTTAGAAGACTTAGGAGTTGTTTCAATATTTTTGTAGAATTTATATCTGTGCGACTTTCAAAGTTTTTTTTTGTCTTTGGCCGACGCGACTGGATCGTGTACATATTCTGATATTCCCATACGAGCTAATCGCCTGATCCTGGGGTTTTTGTTGCAAATCGAGCTGCGGAATCCTCAGCATGGACATCTCAGTGTTATAACAGCCCATTTCAAACCAGCAGAGAGCTCCACTTGTTTTAAAACAGTAGAACAAGTTTTTATTGTATTATCTTGTATCATATATCAAATTATAGAGTATCATAGGCATGTTATTGTGGTCAATTTATTGAAATTTAATAAATATTATGCATGAGTCAATTCCAGGAGTAACCATCCCCCCCGGAACACACCTGGGCATTTGATTTGACTGGTTACGATAGTGCAAATGCCCGGGTGCCGGGACACAACTAGGAGACTAATGCACGGCACTTGGGCAAGCTGAGAGTGGAAAATGCCCCATCCCGGGGATGATTAATGCATATCATAGACATAGTCATTTAATAACATACTATTAAAGATGCGGTACAGTCCGATCTGCGCATGTGCACAAAGGAGTCCTCTTTTTATTATACAAACAGTTTATTTAGGTTTTTATTTCATTTTATGGTCTTGCAAAGCTTAATTGTTGTGTCTTGATAATTTATTATACTCTAGAATCATGAAAATATAAATAGTTGTTGAATAAAATTCAATATTTTGGATACCAACGTGTAAACAAAGCCTTTGTTTGCATACGGACTGTACCGCATCTTTAATTAATTAAACTGCTATGGAATATTATAAAACTTTAATATAAACATGAATCTTGCTAAGAGTGGTTAAAATTATTTAAACAATGAAATCATAAACCTGTAATAAGTTTCGCAAAAGTGAAACCATTTGTCAAATCGCCGGGGTCCTCAGCGACTATAACAATACCCGGCCCCTGTGCACGTATCTGTCTATCAGGCAAATTCCCGGGGGTGTCCCGGGGGGATGGTTACTCCAGGAATTGACTTGTGTATTATATAAATAGACATCTTCTTGTTTTATTGTTGCATTAATTTTAATCTGAAAAAATTACAAACAAAGTAGGTCAAGTGCATGGATAAATTATTCATTTATTTACTAAAGCACATTTTTACCGTTATGTACTTATTTTGCATGAGTGTACATGACAGATTGTTTTAATTAGATATAGAAAGTTATCATTTATAACCCATGGTTTGTTTAAAAAATGCTGGAAAAAATCTAAAAAGTTAGCCAATTGAAATAAATGCACTTCAATAACTAGCTAAACATAGTCCCCGAGCCGACCGAGGGTACTAATTCCCCCCGGCTATTTACACCCGGGGAAACGAAAGCATTAGCGAAGTCTAAAGTTCATCAAATATCGCGGGCGTGGGTCACTGTGCGTGTTTCGGTGGGTGGTCATCCTCACTGATCTCATAATATAGCGGACTGTAATGAATAGCCAACACTGATTGGTCCAATTTAAAATTGGCATTATAACGGCTGCATGACGATTGACGACAGCGAAATTGATTTGATGATTTCTTGCAAATATATTTCATTTTTGCAAGATTTTGTAAATTGCAAAGGATTTTTGATGAAATAAAGGCAAGAGGATTGCTAAAAGAAGGAAGTAAAGGTGCCGACGTTAACGAAGGTAAGTTTGTTTTAAATATTGATGCATTGTTTGCTTTTAATATACTGTAATCTCGGCTGTAATTACTTTAAAAGCCGATCGTTGCGTATATAAAATATGAAACAAGACAGCGTATTATTTCAGTGTTTCTTTATTGATTACACTTTTTATTATACTAAGCAAAGTTATTTACATGGGAGAATTTGGAATCATTTTATTTCGAACTCAAAGTTTATCGATAAAGGCAGTTTAGTTCTATATTAAAAGAACACTTTCAAACGTTTTGCGAAGCGTTAGTGGTTAAATTTTGCCTTAAATTCAAGCTTATATTACGTATAATAACATACCTACTGTAATTACTTTAAAAGCCGATCGTTATGTATAAATATGAAACAAGACAGCGTATTATTTCAGTGTTTCTTTATTGATTACACTTTTTATTATACTAAGCAAAGTTATTTGCATGGGAGAATTTGGAATCATTTTATTTCGAACTCAAAGTTTATCGATAAAGGCAGTTTAGTTCTAGTAAAAGAACATTTTAAAACGTTTTGCGAAGCGTTTGTGGTTGAATTTTACCTTAAATTACGTATAATAACATACGTAACATATATATGTTTAGGAAATTGATAATTTTGTAATTAAAAGTGATATTTATAGGGGATTTTTCATTTGTAAAAATATTCTTAAAAAATTATCGTGTTACCATGACAACTACTTAAATACTTCACGTTCGGAAAATAAAAAGGTTTTGTCTGCAAGGCAAGAGTTTCTGCATGCATGTATTTTCTAGTTAGTTACTATTACTTATATAAAAAAACATGTGTCAACGTACACTCGCGCTTTTCCTACCACTTGAGTCTCCCATGCACTAACCATGTCTCTATGAAATTTTTTGGATAAAATCGTATTTTAAAAAAGTCAGCCCTATACTTGATATGCTGAACATAGACATCCATGACATCTCCTGCAGCAATTAATGGGTGCAGATACTTGCATAGTTCAGAAGCAATATATAACCAACATGGGGCCATCCAGTTCCATAGTCTGGATAAATTGCTATTGCACTTGGGTTCCTTGGATTCAATGACTCTGGCTGTATCCTTACATTCCCTGGTTTATCTTGTTCATGAAGAGTGAGGTATGCCTTTTCCAAATGATGTTGGTAGTGGTTCTCATGAGCAGCACCTATGCACTTGAATGGTACAGCCTGGATGATTTCTTCCTCATCACTGAACTTGTCATCACTTTCTGCCCTATCACCTTGATCACCTCTTTCATTATCATACCATCCTGAACAGGCTCAAGAATTTAGCCAACAACTCAAGTAAATCTCTTTCTACAAAATCATAACAAGAAAATTATTATTTCATGCACCGTCATCTCTAAAATTAGCAATCTTACACAAAAGCACATGTAACCTCTAAATTCTCACTATATACCTAACTGTGTTAGGTCTGTGTATTAGAACAACACACAAACAATATTTAGATGAAAATTGAAAAATATTAAACTACAGCTTGCACATTTAAACAACCATCCACAACTAGATACAAACAGGCATCGTACTCAGCAAAAATTTATAAAATACATACAAATAACAATACCTTCAGACTCATCTGGAAACCAATGTCCATCATCAATTGTATTCGCTGTCAACTGATATTATCCACATCGAAATCCAAAAGCATATGCATGACTGTTTTCATTAGCAAACTCATCAGGAATAGGGTCAAACTAAAGGGTTGAATTTAATATTTGAAATATTACGCCATAATTTGTGTATTTATAAAATTACAGTACAATATTGAAAACAGCAAAGCGGAAATTTGAAACAAGTCAACTGTATTGCATTGTAGGATACCAACCTTAAATAGTGCGCTTGTTTT